TTCCAAATTGCTCTAAGTTAAAAACACAAAACAAAAGATTTGAAGCCAAAATCTGCATATGAAAGGGAACATGTGGTGTTTGTCTTTCATTTCTATAATTTTATCATTGCAAGAAGGTTGTAAAAATGGAATTATATACTATGTGGTTTTTAAATTAATTAATTAATTTAAAAATTAAATTTATTTTTAATTTATGTATATGAGTGTTATGCTTGCTTGTATATAAATGCACCCATCATTTGGTGCCCACCATAGCCAGAAGAGGGTGTTGGGTCCCCTGGAACTGGAGTTATCAATGATTGTTAGCTGCCATGTGGGTGCTGGGAACTGAGTTCTGGTTTTCTACAAGAGCAGCCAATGCTCTTAACTGCTGAGCCATCTCTCCAGCCTTAATATGTAATTTTTCTGAGTTTGATTTCCCACTCCAGGTATAGTTCCCAAAAGACTCATGGAAGTTATCAATAAGTTTAGCAGGTTTTTTTGTTTTGTTTTGTTGAAAATATTTCAGGGTTATTTCCTTTTCTAAATCAAACAAACATTCTGCTAATAATAGTGTGAAGGTTTTTTTATGTTCCCATTTTTCAAGAACAAATGCTTGAAAGCATTCTTATTTGGTCATATACGAAAGTGTATTTAGGTTTTTCCCTAATAAATTGTCAAATTATTTTCCAGATTGATCATATGGATTAATTTTTGCAATCAATGTCTAAGCAATGCAGTTTCTCTGCATCTTTAACACCATTTTGTCCTGTCACTATTTTTATTTTAGTTTCTATGATAGATATACACTAATAGTTCACTGTGGTTATAATTTGTATTTTTCTAACAGCTAACAGTGTTGGGAGTCTGTCCATGTGCTTGTCAACCATTTGTCTAAAACCATCCAAGAACTAGACACTTCTTAATTAACAAAGTACTTCAAATGGTTTTCAGAAGTTCCTGCATAATCTACCCATGGATGGTTTGGAACCAGTTTTCAATAACAGGAACAGTTAAAAGAAGCCTATACATCATATTGATGACCTTTTGCTATCTGAAGTTCAAAACCTTGTGTAGTATATAACTCTCTGAAGAGAAGCACATGACCTGTGAATGTACACACAGGAAAACCTACAAAGCTTTCCTTTGTCAATGAGTGGCTGCTTTCCTCTCCCATCCTCTGAAAATTCCCTTACTACCTGCTGATCAGGAAGGTGGATTTCAGGCTGGATGTAGTGGTGCACACCTTTAATTCCAGCACTCGTGAGGCAGAGATAGGCAGATGTCTTTGAGAGCAAGTCCAGCCTGGTCTACATAGTGAGAAAAAGAAGAAAAATGGATTTGAGACTTTATCCCTGTCCTTGTTGGATGACAGCTCAATAAAGCTTGTTCTTAAAACAACAACGAAACTCCCACAGTATTGACTTCAGTGCACATAAGAGCAGTAAGTCTTTGCCCAGCATCTATCCTTTTCAAGAAAATACATCTGTCTTTTGTCTATTCTCTAAGGGGTTAGTCTTTACTGGTGCATTTTGAGAATTCTATTTATTTATTCATTCATTCATTTACTTATTTATTTACTGCAGGTTACATAAAGGGGGGCATAGGAATATGAAATCAAACACCAAAGGATTTGCCAACACAGGATCAACTTTGGTGGACTAATGAATGTTTCCATTATCTGCTCTGTTTTTTTTTTTTTTTCAAATCCTAAGTTTATTGGGCTTGCTAACAGACCATAGGGTGGGGGTTTATTTACAAAAGAGTGGGTGCACCATATCCATTTACAGCTGCACTGGAAAGTCCACACTCAAATATAGATCTTGTGACCTCTAGACAGCCACACAAAATGGTGAGAGAGTTGCCCCAGGGTGTTTTCAGCTTATATATCCTTAGCCCCTCCCACACATACAGCTAAGGTTGAGTGATTGGGTGGGAGGGGTAACTGACTCCCCTCCCTTTCGAGGAGTGTGGGAAGGAGGTGTGACTATAGCTTTCACACATAGTGGTCTGAGGACACTTCCAGGTAACAACACTTCACCCCTTCCTCTGACTTTTACATTCTTTCCGCCAACCTCTTTTGCAAAAAGTCCCTGAGCCTTGGAGGGGGGTGATGGGTGTGGGATGATCTTCCTCCTATTGTGGCAAGGCATTGATCTTTTGGTTCTTTGCATCATCTGTTTTCCATGAGCTTTTGGCCCATTTCAGTGGGATTCCATCTACTTAAAAAACACAAACAGCTGCCGGTGCCAGCCGGCCAAGACGGACAGTATCTGAAAGGGGGAGTGAGGATTGAAAGAAAAAACAAGAGACAGAAAAGATACTTGGGAGGGCTGTCAGTAGAGACTGCAGGCTTGGTTTATTTCAGCTCGGCCTGTTTATACAGAAGAACTCAATTCCTTTCAACAGCTGTTTTTCCCACCTGAATCTGAGGGTCAAGGAGCGGTCAAATACTTCAAAGTCTTCTTTGATCTTTTTGTCTACCACTATTGCCTCCAGGTCAGATATTGTGAGGCTCTCCATATAAACACATTCCTCCTGATTTGGCAGATTAGGTACTGGTGTGCAGAACACAAACTCAGTAAACAAGCCTGCCACAGCTCAATGTACATAATAGACTAACAGCTCCCAACAAACAGCAAGTAGCAAGAACATCTCAACAATGGGTGCTATAATAACTCAACCTATGGGTATAAACACAAATGCTTGGATGGTACTTTAGGAGGTACATCACATCTATCCAACAAAACAATTGCAGTGGCTTCCCCACTGGGACCTATATCCTCCCCTGACTCAGGGGATTGGCCCGGTCTATAGTACCTGATGTGTGTTCCACCTCTAGGAGTGGGCATTATATTCAATAAAAAATTTGCTGGTTGAACATACACTAGACACACCACTATTGCACCAACAGGATCATCTTGTTTGGGATGCTGATAGTGCCACATGTAGGGTCTGCAGGGTCCATCATTGAGCAGAATTATAGGGGACAGACAGTTCTCCCCCATGGCCTGCATATCACCTTCTGGCACTATGGAAGCCACCCATCCTGAGGTAGGGAGTTTCCATCTTAGTCCAAGCTTGATTTCTCCCTCTCCTGTGCTTACATCAGAGAATTCTTTTTTAAAAAATTCTTACATTTTATTTCTTTATTCATTTAGTTTGTGCATGTGTATGTGTGTGTATACTTGCATGCTGCATGTGGAAGTCGGAAGACAACTTTCAGGAGTCAGTTCACTTCTCCCACCATGTGGGTTCTGGGGATGGCATGCAAATTTTCTGGCTTGGCAATAAATGCTCTTAGCCACTGGGCTATCTTGCCAGCCATGAGAATTCTTTATATATTCTAAGCATAAATCCTTTGTAAGATTTGAGTTTAAAAATATTGTCTACTTAGCCATAGCTTAACTTTTCATTTTATTAATGAGATCTGTCATAAAGTAAGCACAATTTTTTCATTATTTAGAAAATATTAGTTTCTGTAATCAAGCCTACGTAGATAAGACCTTACATATTTAATACAGTGTGTTACCCCTGTACAAATGGCAAAAAAATAAGTTTAATGTTTGTAGACCAATATGGCTGTTAATTTCTGTACAATGCCAACTCAAGACAGTAAACTGGGATACTTTTTTCCAAAGTTGACAGCACAGCTAAAGTTTGCAAAAAAATTCAAATTGAACAAAATTGTGGAGATATCCAGCACACTCCATTAAAAAAAATAAAAAACAAAATCCCAGAAAATAGCACAGTTCTGTTACTGTTGTGGTACCTGGACCTTTTTTTTTTTTTTTTTTTTTTTAATCTTCATCTGGAAAGAAAACATTCGAATATTCTGAGTAACATCATTAAAAACAGCTCTGATAAAGCGTGTTCACTACTATGCATCATACAGCAGGTACAAGATATTTTACGTTCACAGAGGTATGATACAGTACGGTCCTACATCTGTAATACTAGAGGATACAATTTAAAAGGCATTATTTGAGACTTGATTTTACTTTTCTAGCAGAGGGCCCAAAGTATAATATAACACAGCTCTGTAAAGAAATGCACTCTTAGACAGGATTTCCTTTCATTAGTGGCACAGTTCTAAGGATTCACTCTCTTCATGAACATCAGCTAAAAACCATTATTAAAAACCAAAAAACCACAGAGTGGGGGGAGACACCAGGAAAAAATTTCCCTAAAACAAAACTCCATAACCACTGGATTCATACAAAGATGACTGAGTAGAGGCAAGCAAGACTCAACCTCACTAGTACTTTACCCAATCTGTCCTGTTTGAATGGGGAGAGCTCCAAGGAAGGAGGGAGATGCCAAACTTCAATGCTTCTGACCACAACTGAAACAGAGCATCATTTCAGACAGCAGCAGAAGCTAAATGTTGCCCATGTGAATATGCTCAAGGATGGTGACATCAATATTTCATCATCTGCTCACTCATCCAGGAAGAAGGGGAGATCAGTTACTATTGTACTTTGATTGTGTTCAACCCAATCACGTTCCAAAAATAGCAAGCTGCCATAATTAAAAAATAAGGCTCCTCTGTCCAGCACCAGTTATCATCAATTTACCTCCAATCCTAGAAATGCCACATCCACATCTGAAGAACACAAGGGTACAAAGAAACCACAGCTGACGTGGTAATGGGACCACTCACTATCCAGGCTGAATTACTCCCCTGTGGTATCCTTTTCCTCCTATTTCTGGTTTTCGTCTCATCACAGAGATCTTTAGGTCTAAATTATGTGCACTTATGCAATAGGTGCACGTACTTGTATATAAACTGACTGAAGATGCATGTCTACCGAGCAAATATTACATAGTAGGTGTAAGCTTTCAAAGCCTCATTTTAATGGGTGCAGCAGTAAAATGCTCTTATGTCCCTTGTGTACCTCCAAGCTCTAGACAGGATGATGTCACAGACCATTTTACCCCTGTGGCCACTGGCATTATCTGACTTCATTTTACATGTCCCTCTCCCCTCTCCCTTAATGCCCTGCAATAAACGACAGCCTTTAAGACTTTGTTTCTTTGGTTTTGATTGCCTGAGGTTTGATTGGTCCAGTTCTAACAGGTTTGGTAGCTATGGTGGGTGCAGGGGGTGGCATTTCTTCTACTTTTTCCTGACACGCACCAGGAGGGTCAATCAGTGTTTCAGGAGGTTTATTTGAATCACTCTCCACTTTCTGGGCCTTGCCTCCTATCTGTTTGTTCTGCTGTTGTTCAGAGAAGAACCGTTCTGTGGACTGAAGAACCTCTGCTCTCTGCTTTGCCTGGGGTGCAAATTGTATAGGAAACAGTTGTGTCATTCTCACAATGGCAGGGGCGACTGGAACTGCTTCTGATAGACAATGCCATTCATTTTGCTGGACTGGCTGTTTGGACTTGTCGAAGTAGCCCAGAAGGGACTAGATGTTGGTGTGGTGCTTCTACCACGGATAGGAGGTATGCCTGGTTTGATATCAATGCCACTCCCAAAGGCTTTTAGCTCCATTTCAGACATTTTCCCTGTGGTTGCCATCATGCTATGCTGTGTTCCAGCAGGCATTAATCCTCTGAAAAGCTGACTGACTTGTGCAGGATGGCTCAGACTCAGAGCCTGTGCTTGTGGGGTTGTATGTTCTAACTGTGGCTGAAGAGTCTGAGGCAAAGGAATCAGAGGCTGTCCTGTAGATCCAAAATTAATCGAGGAAAGCTGGGATGCTGGTAAAAGTACTGCAACCTGCTGAAGAGCACTCGGTGATCGGGTAGTGTTATAAAAATTTGCCTGACCAGGCTGCTGTACTTGTCCAGAGTAAAGATTTGAGGCCTGAGTAAGATTTGCTCTAGCCTGAAGAAGATGTGTATCAATCAGTTTAGTGAAAACCAATTTAGCAACTATTTCTTTAATGGGTCATGTTTTCAGTATCATGCCCAGTAATGTTTTACTAAGATCCAGCCCTGAGATGTTCACTATATCATTGGGTTAATCTTTTTGGGGGGTTACACTCAGATTCTTGAATCTTTTTATCAATTTTGGGAAATTTTCACTCATTTTTTTCTTCAAATGTTTTCTAAGTTTCCTTTCCTTTTTTCTCTTGTTTGTGCTAGAATTCAAATGATATAAATATTGTATCTTTTGTTATAGCACCAGCTCCTTAAATCCCTAGTCATCTTTTATCTATTTTCCCTGTAGTTTAGATGAGCAGTTTCCTTTGTCCTATCTTCATTTTGAAGATATTTCTTCTTCCTCTTCCATTCTGTTCCTGAGCCCAACTTTTAGGTATTTTCTTCATTGAAGTTATTATATTTTACAATTCTAATATTTTTCCTTTGGCTATTAATTTGGCAATTGTAAATACCCCCAAATAATCTTAAAAATTGTGCTACCTTATTTTCTGTTTCTATTGATTCAATATTTATAGTTGAATGGTAAGTGATTTTTGTTTAAGACCTGAACATTTTGGTTTTCTGTCCAGAGGCTCAGGATCTTAATCCCATCTTCTATTTAGCAGGCATCCTTTGACACCACTCTAGGAGGAGTGGGGATGCAGCTTTACTGCTGCTTGGTGGAAACAGAAAAGAGTCCCTCTTCTACCTCCATGAGGTACAGGGGTGGAAAAAGTCTCCTTTTTATAGCAGGGGAGGTCTCACCTCACTGGGTTTCTGTTGACACACTCTTCTTGGGAAGAGCAGGAGGGTTTCCATTCTGCTCCCCTCATGGCCACCATGGGCACAGCAGGGCATTCTTATTGTCACTGCATGGAGGTGAACATCCCTTTCTGCTCCTCACATGGCCACCACTGGGATGGCAGGGGCAGGAATGCTCTTGTCACTACTGCATGGAGGTGAACATCCTAATCTTCCATGAGGCAAGAGGCTTCTTTGACAATACTTCTAGCATGGGGAATTCCCTGGTACTCATCCTGCATAATAGAGGTAGAAGTCCAGGTTCTGTCACTGGCCTTTGTTGGTGTGGGAGCAATTGTATGTGTGTGTGTGTGTGTGTGTGTGTGTGTGCACGTGCATGTATCTGTGTGTGTTTAAATGATGTTTGGCAGGAGAGAATGATTAATTTTAGTCTATTATGTTTTAATAGGCTGTCCCTTTCCTTGTCATTTGGCTAGAGTGCTGAGATTTTCTTTAGTTTTTCTTTTTGTCTGTACCTTTTTGGGGGTTCCAAGTTGCTGGCCTCTCTAACTCTCATGCTGAGATATATGAAGAAAATAAAACTCAGAGCAGATAGTGCTGCGTTGCTTCTTAGGAATCAAGATCCCTAGATAGTTTGACTCTCCCCCTCCACCTTTCCAAGTCTTGTTTGTCTTGTGTATCACACTTAGGGGTTTTCATTGTACTAATGGATAGAATGGAGAAAGTCTGTACCATCTTGCTTAGAAATGACAGTGGAAGTCAACTGCTACTTTAAAAAGGTATCGAAGTAAAATGCAAGTAATACAAATTAACCAATTAAAGTGAACAAATTAGTGGCATTTGGCATATTTATAGCATTGTGCAACCACCTCTCTCTAGTTCCAAAGCATTTCCATTGGTCCATAGTAAAAGCTCTAACCCACTGAGCAGTTTGTCTTCACTTCCTGCTTTCCCTAGACCCTGGTGACCAACAATTGCATTCCATGTACATCTGTTCTGACATTTCATACAAATAAAATGATACAATATGTGACCTTTAATTCTTGGATCCTTTCTCTAAATACAGTGCTTTTGAGAGTTAGCCATATATATTGTGCTTCATCCCTGAATCCATTACTTGCATGCGTTGTCAACTGTTTATCTCAACAATGGATTTTGCTAAACTTTAGTTCCTGTGAATGGTGTATGTAGTTGTTTCAGTAACAATTTTCAGTTTTTTGGATATATAACTAAGGAATGGAATTATGGAATATATAACAATTACATGTTTAAATTTTTGAGGAATAATTAAACTGTTAAATTATGCCCAGTAGGAATCACTTTTTTTTTTAACCACCAGAAATATTCTCACTCTTTTTAAGTGTCAAATATTTATGACTGGGGATGTAGCTTAGAGACAGAGTACTTAAGTACACTTAAGGCCCTATATTCAATCCCAGGACTACAAAAGAAAGGAGAGAAAGAAGAAGGAGGAAGGAGGAAGGAAGGAAGGAAGGAGAAAGGAAGGAAAAATAAGCACAAATGTTTCCCACAGATGAACCATTCTATACTGCAACCATCTTTGCAACGAGGGGTCCGATTTTGCAATACATTTTTTTTTTTATTTTTGAAGTTGTCATCCTAGTGGATGTGGCATTGCACCCCACTGTGATTTTGTGATTTCTAATGACTAGGGATCTAAAAGCATCTTTTTGTGCTCTTATTGGTGATTCCTATGTCTTTTGTTGAGAAATGTTTATTTACTTCATTTACCAGTTTAAAATCAGAATGTTTGTCCTTTTTATTGCTGAGTTATAGGAGCTTAAAAAAATATATATTTTGGATAGCAGAGTCTCATCAAATATATGACTTGAAAATACTATTTTCCATTTTGAAGGTTTTCTTTTATCTTTCTTAATAATGTACCTTGAAAGACAAAAATTTTTAATTCCGAAGAGGTCAAAATTGTCTTTTTCTTCCTTTTGTTGGTCATGTTTTTGGTATCTTTTCTAAGAATCCTGGAAAGCAAAGTCAAATGAACAAAGATTTGTCTTTTTTTTTTTTTTTAAGTGTCTTCTGATTTTAGTCCCTTATGTTTAGGTCACTGACCCATTTTGTTGATTTTGGGGGTATTGTATAAAGGCAAGATCCAACTTCATTTTCTTACTTGGGGTTACCCAATTTTAGGACCCTTTCTTGACTAGACCAGCTTTTTCTCATCATGTGGTATTAACACTCTTGTGAAAAACCAATTGCTCATTGATGTGTGGACATATTTTTGGACTCTTAATTCCATCTGTGGTCTGTATATCCATCTGGTACCTGGAAGTGTCCAACGACCACTATGCCTGCAAGCTATAGTCACACCTCCTTCCCACACTCCTCAAAAGGAGTTAGGGGGTGGGGTCAGTTACCTTTCCCACCCAATCAGTTGACCTTAGCTACATGAGAGGGAGGGGCTAAGGATATAAAAGCCGAGAACACCATATGTCACGTCTCTTGCCATTTTGTATGACAGGAAGTCACAGGATCTATGTTTGAGTGTGGACTTTCTAGGGCAGCTGTAAATCGGGGGGGGGGGGGCCCACTCTTCCATAAGTAAACCCTCATCCCATGCTCTGTAAGCAAGACCAATAAACTTGTTAGGGTTTTCCAAATGGTGATTTTAGAGAATTTTTGCCTTGGGTTGTCGTAAGGATGGTGGGAGGAGGGAACCAGATGCCATGTGTACCTCCCAGTAGCAATTTTTAGTACAATTGGTGTAAATGGCAGGCACAACAAAACTGAGGATGAGTTTTGGAAGAGCAATGATGATGTCCCTGATGTGGGGAAAGAACAAAAACCAAAGCAAAGTTGGGAGAAGGGAGAATGTGGGCAGAGGAAATGTTAACCTGGTGGGACTCCCCATAGCCTTGGTGGGGGTGGCTGCAGTGGCATGGATAATGCAGTGGACAGTGAGATGTGTAATTAGGGTGAGGCCACCTAAACAAATGAGGTCAGTGAGGGGAAATCCAGGATGGCAGCCATTTTGTAGATGGTATGGGGTGGCAAGCCTGCTTGACTGGTGGGGGCCTCCACGTGAGTATGGAAATTGGTTGAAGACAGCAGAAGGTCTAGAACAGATTTTACAAGCTCTGGGAATACTACACCAGGGATAGAAATATCAACAAGTGACTGGAGAGGCCACCTGACTGCTGCTATAGGTAATAAGAAATCTGTCCCAAGTGGAGGCCTTAGTCTGGATGGAAACTGAAGGTGTTAGAGAGGAACTAGAGCAAGAGAGGACTATGAGGCTGGCCTCATCGGTACTGGCCTCTGACCTTGCCAGTAAATTGAATAAGAGAGAAAAGGAGATGGAGGTGTCAGCATGTCATTTTTTATGTCCACTACATCAATGACATAATGCTAACTTCCAAGTACCATACAGGTTTGAAAGCTCATTTGGGGGACATGCAAGTTCACTTGAAGGAGCGAAGATGGAAAATCAACCTGCACAAGGTACAAGGACCCAGTACAGTGGTAAAATTTTTAGGAGTTTTGTGGTCAGGTAGGACTCATATGATACCCAGTGAAGTGGTTGAAAAAAATCTTACAATAACCTGTTCCAATAAATACAAAACAGTTACAGGTATTTTTGAGACTTCCAGGATATTGGCAAATTTTTGTACCTCACCTTGCTCAGGTCACCCATCCCATGTATAACTTAATAAAAAGAGGTGTAAATGGGATTGGGATATAAAGGTCCAAGAGGCCTCTGAGCAGGCCAATATACTTTTCAAGCAAGCTAAGTAGCTGTATGCCCCAATACCTCGGTGTTCCTTCCTTTTGGAAGTCACCAGGAGCCTCAAGGGCTATGGGTGGGGCTTATGGCAACAAAAACCCAAGCGGACCATCCCAACTGGATTCTGGTCCCAGTCATGGAAAGGGGAAGAGTCCCAGTACATGGCTGTGTACAAAGCATTACAATAGGTAGAATCTGTAACAGGCCCCACCCCTATTATTGCAAAAACTGCATGTCCCATTAAAGGATGGGTGGAGAACCTGTTAGCCAAGCCCCTGTCAGGAGTAGCACAAAACCAAACACTGCAAATATGGCATGCATATTTACAGCAGTGAGGGGTTGTGTCAGCAAGCCCAATCACCCAAATGCTATGCAGGCGGTACTAGGGCTGGTGTCATTTCAAGGCACAGAACCTCTCCCTTCACCTCCTATAGTTGACC